GGAACACGCATATACAACAACTGAATGTGCACCCACCTCCGTGGTTGTCGACCAGAATGAAATGCTGCGGTTAAGTTGATGAGTGGGCGGTACAAACACAGTCTGTAAGCGCAGGTGCCCGGCCTGGACCCCTTTACGGTATAGGTACACGAATGTTTCTGGCACCTGTCGTATTTGAAGGAGTACTGATGAATTAGTATACGAGAGTATGTGTATATATGTCTGTATCTGTGTACATCCTTCATATGTGCTTAAGACACTGAAGCGTTAGGAACGTCCAGTCGTGTGTATGTGTGTACATGTGTATTTGTGTATGAATGTTTGTATGCATGTATGTATGTGCGTACAAGTGTGTATGTCGATATATATGTGTGTTTTGTATATGTGCACATGTGCATGTGTATAGGTGTGCTCAGGAGCGCCCAAGGCAGCGATTTCTGAATATTTCTGGGAATTGTCTCTTATGGGATGTATTCGTGATTACGTACATCTCTGTGGATATATATGCCTGTTCCCAAATACCCACCGATATATGCGCAAGTGTAAGGGTGCGCTAATGTCACACGGCGAATGCTTTGAGAGTATTTCTGAACAGGAGGCCGTCCCGTTTTGATATTCCAGATACAACAGGGGACCAATTTGCACTGTTCTAGAATTTTAGGGTTTTAGGGGTTAGAACAAAATTGCACTGTTTTAGTATTCTAGAGCTTTAGGGTTTAGAACCAAATTGCACTGTTTAATGCATCTAACGATGGACGGAACATGCATCGTGACCGCATGCCCTGTTATGTGACTGGCAGAATGAGCGAATGCAATAGAACTTCGCGTTGTATAGATTTTTGTCTATATCTCCGGTTGTGAACTATCCTGCTAATTGGCATACAAGGAATGTGCATTTAGATACAAACCGGAACCATTGACAGGTTTCATTCATACCGTATGTATATACATGCCCGTGCCCATACTTATGCGTATCCAATACCCGCATAATCTCTAATAATAATTTACTACCTCTTGCGCTCTTCGAACCCGCATAACCCCTGAAAATACTCTACTCACCTTTTGCGCTTTCGGAATTCACACAATAGTTAAAAGAATAGTATAACAATCTCATTCGCTCTGAACCCACGCAATCGCTAAAAACAGATTACGTGCCTCTTTCACTGTAAACATGCGTAAACCAGGTTACTTACCTCTTTCACTATAATCACACGTAATCGAATGAAAAAAATAGACTACTTACCAGTTGCGCACTTTTACTCGCACAATCGCTAAAAATAGATTACCTCACTCTTTTCACTCGGAACCCACGCAATCGCTAAAAATAGATTGCCTACCTCTTTCTCTATGAACATAAGTAATCGCTAAGAAGAGATTACCTACCTTGTTCATCAGAAACGTAGGTAGTCGTTAAAAAGAGATTACCTCACTCTTTTCACTCGGAACCC